TAAACTGTGGTTTGCATTTGCTGATTCTACAAGGCCGCAGTGCCAAATGATTGTCCAGTAAAACTGTATATATTCATCACAATCACTTACCTAACTACTAAGTTATTAAAACTAAACGTGACTAGTTAGTATATTGAAATACAATTATTACGTCACAAATCATCTTTGACTCCGCTAACTGTTGAGCAAAATGTTTGGTGTGAATTTTGGCGGATTTAACGCCAGCTTCATTGCCGGTTGTGAAATTTTAATTGCTTAATAACGATAACCAAGTAGGTCGCTGCAAATTTTACTAAGAACTCTACGCAGTTTACATTTATAAAAATTTAAATGTTTTGCTACAATAAAAGAAAAATTGTAAATTTCAACATTTCAAAATTGTAAATTATAAAAACATTCTTAGTGACTTTAAATTTAAAACATTCTGCTACTTAGCATAAACAACAAGCACAAAAATTGTTATTAATACTTCGTTAAATTTCACTTTTAACTTGAAGTAGGTATGTAAAAAATTCGTCATTTGTCACTAAAAGCAAACTTCGTTAAAAAATAAAGAAATTACACACATTTACTATCATTTATAATATTTATTTTATTCTAGTTCTTAATGCCCATCAGTAGTCCATCAGTTCAAATCAGACGTTTCGGAGATGACAAAATGTGAGGTTTGTCAACCCTGATCTAGTGGTTATATTTGTCGCAAACACGTGCAAAATCTGACAGCCCACGCACCTAGTCCAAATGCCGTCTTTCAAGCCACCTATCAAACGTCGTTTATATTGGTACTATTAAAATAATGTTGGTTTGTAATTAACTGTCTTTTTACTCATTTTAAATACACAATCGGGACTTAACGCAATAAAAAACCTTTGTAAGCAAATATCACCTACATATCTGCTTCTTTACTATTACGTGTGTGATATGTTTGTTTTTGTTAGTATCACAATTTTGTTACTCTCTTACTATTTTAACAATGCTGTATCAGGAATGGATGGGTTTTGGTCGTCGAAGAGTATCGAACAAAAAAGATATATCAATGCTTGTCATTGCAGTTCTTAACAATAACAACACAAAAGAAGTGCCTCATGTGGTGGATGAAATACAAAATTTTCATAATATGGGTTTTATTTTCTATTTACATTATTTAAAAAAATACATTAAATACATACAAATGAAATAATGACCGGGCGATGTTGATAACGCCGAAAATGAAGTGACGCACTATCCAAAAATAATAAAATTTATATATTGCATTTTGTGATATTTATAATATAAAAATAATTATTGTCCTGAGTATAGTAAGTAGGTGTATACTTAAAAACGAGTGGCTCATAGGTCGATAGCTATTGAGTATTGACCTATTTAATAATAAAGTTAAAGGAGCGTTCACCGTCGACCATTTGCATATGCATGTATGCGTGACTACATCGCTCCAACCGTCGTAATAGTGACGCGTATAACAGAGCTATAATCAAAACTCTAGCATCCAACTCAACATTCGGTTAAATAATTTTCAATTTTAATTACTACACATATAAATAATGTGTATTTCTATAATAATAATGACAAACAAACTAATAAGGCACCTGACGGAAGCAGCATCACCTACATACCAGATGCACCATATCTTGAATACTTTTGTCCTAGTTCACACGAACAAAGGCGTGGCTAGTGTATTTATAATTCCTTCTTGCAAATATTATTCGCCAACTAAGTAACATGTATGAAATCACTCATTCAAAGTTCATATATCGGTAGCCACTTGCGCTATAGTCCGAGTAGTCTATTGTTTCCCCAAAAGAGATATAATGAATTTTAAATGCGTTGTCCCTTATACAAGTAGGTTAGCTACCTTTCACATAGTAACAACGTATTAAACCTTTAAAAATAATATTGTTATTTTTTATCCTACCCCGAATCAGAAATTCCTATTTTCTGTCTACGACCCCGATTAGGTATAATGTGACTTCTAAAGTGTCCAAACGTCACGTGACGTGTTAATTTATTTTTACTGTTATGTAACGTTTTCCCCTAAATTTATAATCGAATCCGATAGGCTACCCTACTAATGAGCTGACATATAAATCCTGAGTCCATTATTCCGTTTTTATGATAGTATAGACTATTTAAATAATAATTAATAATGATTACAAGAATATTGCATGACTAGCACGCTAGTCTAGAAAATGTTTTATCGCCTACATTGAATTAAAGCGTAGGTAATTAAATTATTTGTCGACTACGTTTTTCGTAGTAAAAAGAAACGCGTCACGCCGGCCGGCACGGCGCGGCGCACGCTCGCTCCGGCTCGCGCGCGACTTCGACGCCGGCAACCGGCCTCCTCAGCCATTGACTCGATGTTGACGCAGTCAATGCCACCTTACTTCTGAGTACATTAACTTTCGCTTCGTTGAAATTAATCAAGCATTAATCACCGTATGAGAATGCGATCTACGCTTTTTATTTCATTACTAATTATGTACGTTGATTGTTAATAGAAGTTGAGATTTCGATTCCGTAGTTTCAAACAATGTGTATAGGTATTTCAACATATCTGCTACTAGCATGGATAATCAGTTTCGCGCAGCGGCGACATTGATGCGCAGTAGAGCGAACCGAGCTTTCGTAACGTATCCGTGATTTAATAGGCGACTGATGATTTACTTACGTTACGCACGATCCTCTTCTCACCCTTAAAAATCCTATACTAACTGTTTTAAATGGGTCGTTACTTTAATATTGCAAACTGCAACAATGTGTCCTACAACATCATTAGATAGCGATGTATACACCTGTTCGAATATACAGTTCAATTGATATTTTAATATCAATAATTAATATCTAATGCATAATAATTATGCAGTGTTACCATGTCAAAGTCACTGGGTGACTTTCACTACAAATTTAAAAGCGTCTTTCGCCACCGACTATGTACAGTCATTGTGCAAGAGGTATTATAGCTTTTATATAACACACTAGTGCCAGCAAACTGATATTTAATACGTAGGTACGTACACTTTAATATAACGGGAACTGAATCTCAGCTCAATACGAATATACCAGTCCAATATTACAATCTTTATGCTTTATGAAACCTATATAACAATCACGTAGATATGTAGGAACATTGATTTTGGATTACAGCCTTTATAAGAGAGTTTTATTGCGATTTCTAAGTTTACTGTATATGAAAAATAAATTGAAAAAACTAAGAATAAAGAATATACCTACATAGGTAAAATAATCAACGAATTGAGTAACAAAAGCCAATATTAAATACTATAATTACCTCTGGCTACCTCGATAAATCTTAAAAAAATCAATGTCGGGCAAGTATTTAAAGATTAATTAAAACAACTTTCATTGTTCCGGTGCGGGGTACGTCTCTCCGTCTCACGGCGTGGCCGCACTCGCACGAAATCGCTTAAAAGTGAAAGTATGATGCTATCAAGAACTCAACGTTGCACTACTCGGTGCTTGTTAGTTAGCCTACACCTACCTGTATCATATGTAACGACAAAACTATGTAGACAAGCTGTAACAGAGACAGTGCAACTGTAGCAAAAATTATGGCCATCGAACCGTATTCCAGAGATAATAATTAAACTAATCCTTTGAGAATATATATATATATATATATATATATATATATATATATATATATATATATATATATATATATATGTATTCAAACAACCTATTTTTGAACGAAATTGTCATACAAATATAATTTATAAAAACTAAAATGTATAAACCTATTTTAACTATTGAAGTGTTTTGTCATTAACGTTTAAGGTATTAGTTTAAAAATAAAAGACTTCGCACAATAAATTAGGGCTAATGATTTTGAGAATAGGTTATCGGATGCATTTGTCTATCGAGGTTAAAAGAGTTATCCATTAGCAGCAGTTTCTAATTGCAACTCGAGGTAAGAACCTACTTATTCCTGTATGTTAATGTGATAAAACAAATCACTACTTATTATAGCTATAAACATGTATTGTTGTGATATAAACATGCCTGTGTAATATGATGTCCTTGATTTTGTAGCGCGATAAAAATTTTTGGTGTCATAGTAATAATGTGACAAGGTTATACACGTCAATAATGACGTATATAACATTCACAATATACAAACCAGTAGCGGTCGTAGCGCGCACGTTCAAGCGTTGTCAATCAAACGTGTGCGCGAGCGCAGGAAGAAGCCCGAATCGGAACCAATGTCAACCAGTCGGTGGCTCGTGACACACCAATATGAGAACGACCCCGATCCATCAAGTCAATATGTAATTGATTATTTTTATTAATTGAATCGAAGTTACTACCGCATAATGTATACATAATAATTATAAAACATAATTAAAAAATAATACTTTCTCGACTAACAAAATTTAATTAAATCATTAATTTAGTACTTCTTCGGCTTTTTACATTTTCGTTATGACAACTATCATTGAAATAATATTATTACAATATTGAAATGTTACTATGATGTCATTTCCAAAAAATAGTCATTGAGGAAAGACAAAGTTAAAAGAATTACTTCAGCAATAGTTTACATATTTTCGTCATTGCAACTATCTTTGTATGGTATTAGTAATATATAACAAATTTTCTGTATATATAGAGATATGACGTCATTACTAAAAAAAATGTAAGTAAAAGGAAGTAATTATAAAGCATTGTCTACTTTATCGGTTCTTTACACATTATCGTCATTACAACTATCTTTAATACGATATCAGTAAAATATTGAAATATTTTCTATACACGTAGACTAGAGCCATTGCATTAGTCTTTCCAGCTAAATTAAAAAAAAATACAGGCTACAATTAATATAAATAATAAGAAATTAACTTTAATTTTAAACTTTATCAAATTAATTTTCTCTTTATACATAAGTAGGTTAAGGTGGCGTGATATACGCAGGTTATATTTATACAAATAGCTAAAAGTAATATAATAAGTGTAAACATTAAAAAAATATAAATAACCTTTATAAAGAACAGTGCTATGCGGATCAACTAATATTAATACTAATTTAGGCTACGAATTTCTTTAATTTGGCCCTAGTCTAAATATCCCAGGTTATACGCCCAGATGTCCGTTGCCTGAGTTCTCAAAACACAGGATATTCTAGCTTGAAAACCAAGTAATTGGTGTGATTTTATGGCACTTGTTATTACAATTAATACCAAAGTAAGTGAGTGAGTGTGTGTGAGAGAGAGAGAGCAATTACATAAGCAGTACATTAAATTTGCATCGTATCTACTTACATACGTATAATTATAAAGCATCTAAAAAACGTAAACAAACTGATGGCCTACTTGATGGTAAATGAAAATCGTTGATTAGACGAATAGTACTATGAACATCATACAATACAGTATTGTGTTAAAAAAGAACTATTATGCCTCTGTACCCTATAGTTTTACTGCTCGCTTCAAATCATGCAAACACTAGCTGTGTTTTATTTGGGGGGAAAAAATAGTGCAAAGGAGCCAAATAGTTTTTTCACAAAATCTTTTTACTACAAACTTACCGTAGGGATTAAAAAATGGAAGATATTTTTTTAACTTAAAAACGATTGTATTCGACAAAAAAAAACAACTTCGATCGTGGAAAAATCAATTATTTTCATTTAAAACTTCACTACTAAACCGATTTTTATAAAATTCTACGAACGAATATGTAAGTACATATATCCTTTCAGATAAAAAAAGAATTTTCCAAATCGGTTTACACCTGATGCAGTTATGAGGTACAAAAAAAAATATAACCAAATTGAGAACCTCTATCTTCTTGAAGTCAATTGAAAAGTCAAACAGATGGTCAGAATAAAAAAGCAAGTTAAATAAAATTTTGCCTTATTGGCAAAAAACGTGTAAACTAGGTCTTTTCAATTAAACACAACGTTTATCTTGTCCCTATTATAATATTACATGATAAATACAATATATAAAATGCATAGGACAGCTGTGCTGGGATGCATCACTTCATCTCGCTCTAGTTGCACCGAGCCGGTCATGACGTCATGTCCACCCAACCGCGGACTGTGCGAAGGTCGCCATATTGATCTCGTGTTCACACCCACTTACTGCATGCATGCAACATGTTACGTGTTTATTATACATTAATTTGCAAAATATTGTTAAATATAAAATAACAATAAAATTACTACTGAATTGAAGAATACTTGGTTTTATAATTTTACAAAAATTTAGAACCTAAGGAATGCTCGCTACGTGCCTCGTTGAATTCTTAACATATCGATTATTATGTCATCACAATGATAAGATACAAATACACTACCTTATGTAACATTATAGTCATGAACCTTTTTTTTTAATAATTAGTATATTGTTTATAAATCATATGTATTAAATTGTATTTTTTGTCAACAGGCCCGTATAGAGCTGAAGAAAAGACTAGATGAAATAAGACTATTGGAGTCGCGAAAATCTGCAAGGCTGGCCGATGTGGATACAGATTTTGCTAGACTTGCAGATATGGCAGGGGACCGCCGCCGCGCCTCTGCTACCATCGAAGTACCAGCACATCACATGCAGGGGTGAGTGCTTACATCAGTTGACAAATTGTTGTACCAGGACAAATTAAAAATATATATAGTTAACTCTCTGAAATATACCATACACCTCACGCACATTGAGCTTTATCATGTTCAGAATCCATATCATTTAAAGTTGCAGGAAAAAGCATGTATAGATATTAAGTAAGATTTACCTCAATTGCAGTTCCATAATCAAAATGCTACGCAATTTAATGTCATAATTATACTCCTCCTCATGAAAGTATTAAATTGTTTCAGTAAGAACTCTAAATCTTAATAAATAGAAAGTAACATTAAATATCTACATTGCTTAACTGATAATAATAATCCAGGCTTTTACAACAAATGCAGTCCACATATTTAAATAATTAAGACTGTGTTTCACAAACAAAAAAACTACTTCAATTGTAGCAAAACTAGTTGTTTTGATTTAAAAACTAAAGTACTAAATAGAATTTGATAAAATTTCTATGCGACCAATCTGTAAGTATATCCTTTCAAATAAAAAAATATCCAAATCGGTTTACAACTAATAAAGTCATAACAAACATTAAAAAAAGCGAACAGAATCGAGAACTGGTTATTTGAATAAAATTATTTTATTTAATTCCGCTACCATTAGTATGTGTGTTGCTAACACTCAAAGATTGACCACTACTATTACTACCTGAAGTTCATTTGGCATTGAGAACCTCCTTCTTTTGAAGGATTTTTTTTCTTAAATTCCAGTACCTCAACTAAACATACCAATTATTAGATTATCGGTCATGGTCGTGAAATCTGGATAAGTGGATAGTGAATATCATAGGGTGTTTAATTATCAAATATCGACGGCATTTCACCTTGAGATACTGGCTTACCTCGGCGTGCGTGAGCAAAGAGGAAGGCCACCGTATTTCTAATCCATGTACATATTTGGTTTAAATAGATTTTGCAATTTCTAAATTATATGAATCCTTCGTATACCAACAAAGTAAAAATATGATGTGTTACCATAACCACTCCTTCTCATCTCCAAGATTATGTAAAAAGTAACTAAAAAACACACCGCTTCAAAAAAACTCTAAAGAAAACCATATACCAAGCCCATTAACTAGTATATGAAAACTATATTGTCCTATATACTACGCACGCGAATTCAGACCTAAGACCAGCAATTCCTAAACAAAAATACCATGTCGTTTATGATATAAAAAACATGTACATTGATATAAAAAACAGTTAAGAAAACAATAATGATGAAGCGAATATGTAGTTATGTATAAATATCAGTGATCTACACTCATCGGTGTAGTACTCGTAATGATATCTCCCTGAGAGCTCAATATTAGGCAAGTTAGGCCCGCCAGCCGCGATGTATTGTAATAGGTTACCTTGTAGATAGGTAATCGCTCACGAGCGTGCATCGGTGAAGTGGGGCTTGGCGCGAGCGCGAGCAATCGTTGCGAAATGCGCGCCGTGCACGTTATAAACTGGATGGAAGTGTTAGTGCAGAGTACAGGCGTGTCCTTGTCACAGTTGCCTACATTCTACAGCCGGATCCCGCCGCCCGCGCCCCAGGCCTCACCACGCCTAGTACCAGGACAAACAATGCAACATTGTGAGAGAGATCTAAAAACTAGTAGATTACATAAATACCGTTAACCGTTACGGTTCCAATATAGTTAAAGACAATTTAACTATCACAAATCACTATAATGCTTCTAGCGTCTCTAAATATTATAGAGCAATCAATATTCTGAATCTACAAGAAGCGTTAACGGCGCAAGAGCCGCTTTAGAATGGTATTACGGAAGCGAAAAAGTTTCTTCTTAAAAGTTCAATGTGGCGGTCAATGAGCCAACATAATGTATTGCAATGAAACCGGAACAAACAGCATCAAGCGGCTGGTGCGACGTGACACTCGCCGGCACCGCGGTTTCACTTTTCATCATGATCTCGGTGAGAGGCGAGACCTCAACCCGCAGTCAAAATTTCACAATAAACGCCGAAACCGACGCACGAGGGGTAATCTGCTCTCGATTGTCATGACTTGCCTCAAAAACTGCAACAATACTTTCCGTTATTTTTGTGCGAATATATAAACCATTGTTGTATGAGATACATAATTATATGGACTATATTTCTATATTACATTACTTAGACGATTATTAAATTTTATACTCTTATTTTAGCACATTTAATCTAAAACAAACAAATTGAGCATGTAAAAAATTAATATGGCATCGGTTCCTTGATCTAAATTCAACTTTAGATTAAATTTCATTATTTAAGTGACATTATTTTACCAATTTATGAAGCTCTTAATGCACATATAGCTAGAGACCCTAGAAAGATTAATTAAATATATGAGTGGTACAATACAATAAATACCTAGTTTCTAAATAAAGACTATTCTTTGAGAACAGAAAACTTATTTCAATAAAAAATTATTTACGAGAAACCAAGTCTTAAGACAAAGGTTCTTGAAAAATATTCCAACAACATAATAATTTATATGAATTGCAAACATTTTACACAAGTAATACAATAACAAGAATTCATCGAAATAAATAATTGTACTGTAAAATACTCAATATTTGTTGTAGATATCTCCAATAAAAGTTAGTTTCGATTCGTGATTGGAACAAATTTCGCAACACGAACATGGGCCCCGCCAAAGTGAAAGTTTGCCAACGTTCATTTTCTTTTGATTTGACGGACGCTAACATAAACGTTATGTTTTTCGTTTTGTGTAATTCGTAAATGTTAAACAACAAATTGAAACTGTGAAGGAAAATCTCCTTACATACCAATAAAATGCGTGGGAAGGATAAAGTTATGCTTATGAAACAAATCATTGAATTCAAAGATGGCTTCGCATTCGATTGGCACTTGGCGCGAGCGCCACGTGACACAGTGACCTAGTTTCAAAATGGAACGCCGCACACACTAAAGAAATACAAGTCGGCTGCGATGTCCGCGTACGACGATGTCCGCGACCTAACGCCATTTGTGGCAAAGAAATAAGCATTAAATGGCACTGTCAGCACTCCAAATTTACCCTCAAAATTATCTAAACATATTTAAGGATAACACTCACTCTACATAAATTATTATAAAGAGGTTTTCAAAAAAATTACAGTATTAATTAAAATCTTTTATTTGGGATACAATAAACACTAGCAATAATTTACCTTTGACTAATATCTACCTTAGTTAATTCAATTACAACTTTAGTATTTCACTAGAGACTAAAGTAAATATAACAAGGACAAATTGATAATAATGTACCTTCTACTGATTGAAGAAATCTTGAATAATTTGTATAATTCTTGAATAAACCCCAGAAAATATAAATAATGTCTTTTACATTTCTGCATGTCTGGTAAGTTGAACTGCAAGATTATAAATGAAACAATAAAACAAAACAAACAGTTTCGCAAATATACTCGTATACTACCATTCGATAGTTCTAGTTCCTAACAGAAATTGTTAGAACTTAAGTTACATAACCCAGCTACTGAGCTGGAAATGTTATCCAAAGTCACCAACGTGTTGTAGAAATCTACATGCCTTTGCGTCCTGGTAGACAGTATCCTGTCGGGCAGTAGGGCGGCAACACGATCCGCATTATGATGTCGCAAGTCACAAAACCTCGGTTTGTCGCCGCACAGACGCGACGTGTTGCCTTGTCAGGTATTGCCAACTCAATGTCACTTTTTCATAAATCAGAACACAACTTCAAAATTTTTTATCTAATGTAAATGTCTAAGACTACTTCTAAAACAATATATCTACTATAAAATGACTAAGAAGAACCACGCAAGAGTTTAAATTCTAATGAAAACAGGCTTTAGAATAACAGTAATTATAAAGGGATGTGGAATTTTACAATCAACGACAAATAAACTTTTCCGATATATTTTTCCAATTTTAATGATCATTTCAATTTCTAAGGACAAATACTCTATTTTAAATATAACTAACTTCAGACTACTTTTCGATCACAAGTTTGAGATTAGAAAAGTATTTTTCAAGTTTATCTATGAAAGATAAACCAATCGCTCTTTGTACAAATTCCAATATCAAATTCACAGTATAAGTTATTGCATTTCAATTATGATCCAGTTTCCCCAGGACATATGAAAAACTGCATTGGCTTACATTCCGCGTTCGTTTGCGCAACATGCAAAGAGAAGGCGTGTAAAGTTAATGGAGGGGACTGCGTGCACTTTCTCGTGACTATGTCTTTGCTTTCGTTGGTGTTGTGGAGGTCCGTTATCTCATTTGGCAGGTGTAGGTATGCCGCCTTCGTATAGAGAAAGTGTTACGACGGTAATTGTATTCCATATTATGCAAACATTTTAATAATTTTGTAAGTACTCAGACTTTGTAACAAACTTTTCTATTATATATGTATCTATTTCTAAATTAAGATGCTTTGATTATATGTATCGTCAGAAAAACATACATAGAACTGTGTTCTTCTTAAACACACTTCATTTTCAGGTGATGACATACAAGTTGATTACTCATCAGAAGTTATTTATCACAGCATTGACTTTCATCTGAATAACATACATACAGGTTATTCCACCTTTCAAAACGTACAAAAAATGAACATTATTCTCTGAAATGCACATTATAATAGCATTCGTGATTTTCGCTAATGACTCTTTGATTGTAGTTTAGCCAAGTACCACGTCATCACATTGTTCATAGTGGGCTTGTCGGTCACCTTATGCTCATTTGTTAATAATAACAACATAACCTAGCTACAGCAGACGGATTGAACGATTTATAAGCTACATTGTTTTACAATAACTCAAGTTCAATGCTATTTTATTACGCACCTACGTGTTAAGTGTGCGTACATGACTGTGATTGTCAGAATTGATTATTATGTACTTTGTTACGTCAACGATATAAACAATGATTCGATGACGATTTTTATATTAATATTATCTATTATAGACAAAAAAAGAAAAATAAAGATATGAGAAACTAAACAGTTTAATTTTGTTAATATTGTCACTAACAGATATCAGATACTCGATAATCGATTATAACAACTATACATCGTTGTAATTAGTACCACTACATTAAATATTTATAAATTAAAAAAATATAATAAAATACGTAAGCCGCATAGTTAAAAAGACAGAATGTGTTTATACAATGTACCTAATATTTGTTAAACTAACTTTATATATTTTTATCATAGTAAAGAACTGAGTTCTTCGATGATCTCATCACTATTGACTGTAGAGGTACCTGTAGAACAGGCGGATTCAACGCATTAGCACAATCAAACAAAATGAACCATTTTTTGTAACTAAAAAAAAATGATCCTGACCTACAGAAATGTTTGCAAAAAATTCCACGTTCAACAGATATAAAAGAAGGTACCTAAATGCCTATCAACAAACGAGCGGGTTAAGATTGTTTAGTTTTCAACAAAAAAATATTTTTTATATAAAACATAGTTTTTCAAATTCGCAAATTGACCACCTATTATCATAATGACATTAACTTGATTGCCGGCAACGTATATGAAACGATTGTTACGTAAGCAACAAACATTGATAATTAATACGTTTTATAACTCCTAATCTCATTTTTATAACTTAACTACACAATTTAATTCATTTCAATCAAATGTGATATCGAAAATTTTATTTGCCTATATTATTTGTGAACATTATCTAGTAACTAATCCACAAAATTTAAAAATATTTATAGTACTTAGCAGACTTATATGACATATATTTTTTTCATTATAGTTTCCAGTTCTGATCCCAATCCGATCTCTTTTTAACTTTATAGAGAATGTAATTAGTAATAATTTAAAAATTGGGCGACAATCTAGAATTGAACATCCGTTCTCACATTCACCTCTTTAAGCTGCCAATTTCGACAAGTTCTACTCTATTATTTAAAAATGACCAATTAAACCTAAGACATTATCCTTGATCAGAAATATCTGATGATCTGCATAAAGTAGATTGGTTGTCAATTTACCGGCAGTGAGCCCATATTATTAACTCTGGAGTAGACTATACGTATTAATGTTAAATAGTGATTCTATCAAATACTTTGCTTACCACTAACTAAATTTACATTGATTTATAGTTTCCAAGTTCGGATTTGTCCCCAGATTTAAATAGAAATATTAGCTTGCCAAGTTTTACGAACTAAAGAATTATTCCATTATCTATTAATTTCTTAAATATTCTATGATTGTATACGATCTAATTTCCTAAAGACTTTCGCCATTTTGTGTCTTTGGGGGATAATATGTGTTTTGAATGTTACAGGGTGCATTGTGACAATTTTCCTGATTAGTAGATAATGAAGAATAATTTATTATATGTGGTGAAGAGTTAAAAAAAAACACCGCAGTTATTTTAGTATAAGATATAAAGGGAAAGTTTATTATTATATAACTACAAAAAAAGTTCAAAACAATACGAACTAACATTACTCATGAACACAAATGTTTCTATTGTGCGGATATCGTTTCCATGACCATCACAAGGTGATGAAGATCAATCAACAATGATTAATATGATTCATATTTATAAGTACGTATATACTTTTTATAATTTATAAATATTGAAGAAAATATTAGTACTGTGCTGCGTAGTCGGCAACAGCGGACAAGGTCGTTTTCAATGTTACCTCTTCTGTAGTATGTGCGTTCGCCAGTATGTACAGCTGTCGCACGCCGGCCGGCTCTTGTGTGTATGAAAATCATTTCATTATACAACAACCCTAGAACTGTCTCACCAATATTAGACTATTGGCATTCGTATCGTTATTAGTTGACGTCAGTCACACGGTACGAGCATTTGAAAATTCTTCCTCCTGAATTATATATAATCACTGCGAGTAACAGCGTGGTTCGTACCGGATTACGTCATCGCATTGGAGCAAATTACGTCAGGCCGCTATTTATGTGACGCTGTAGCGTAGCGGCACCGGCGACCGGCGAACATCCATCCCTATTATCGCGCAGCAACGAACAAGCAATGTCACCTCGCGGCCGCGGTCGTCGCTCGCGCCGATAACGACCTCATCACTGTCACTGGCTCAGGCCCACACCTTGTCCTAGACTTAGCCTTCGGCTAGAGATTCTATATAGATTTTTATAAAAATTTTAATATCGAATGTAAGCTCATATTAACCATAACTGTTATGTTTTATTATAGGAATACTTGTTTGAATGTATTTATATAGTGTGTATGTGACCTTATAAATTCACAATTTTAACTTTATACCTTTAACTATTTAGAAAAAAATCAATAACTCTTAATTAAAAAAGATGGAGCTAAGTAATAGTGCCAAAAGAGAAGCTTCTCGAGTGGAGAAAAAGTTCTAATAGAAAACTTAAGATAACAGAATTCGATATTCTGTACAAGAAATTTTGATAACTATGCTCTGTTTCTCACAAAATCAGTTACTTGAATAATTCCTAAACGCTATATTAAATTGAATAATAAACATGATAGAAGGTTGACGAAATGTGGGGTGAATATACCCTGTACCAAGGGTACGTCCGCACACAACCTTCTTATATTTACTTGTACAAACTTGTATTTCAGTATTTTTGTACAGTCATGTAAATAAGGGTATGAGAAGACAACTTTACAATATCGAATAGATCCCAATTAAAATAAATATAAATCCAAAAAACAAAGCAACATAAACCAGGATCGATTTTGTTTTTAACCTGTATACAAATTACCCTTTCAATACATATGTATGTAGAAAATAATAAATTTACATGATCTACAAAAGTTGATAAAAAAAAAAACAAGGTGTCGGCAACCTTCGCGGTCGGTCGGCGATCCTGCGCGGAGTCAATGCTCTAAAGTCAGGGCGACGCGCCACCCCGCGGCAAGGACGTCGAGCCCAGGGCGTCGCCGCCGGCCAGCCTCTCGGCCCTTCACATCAGCCCAATACCAAGTCTACCCAATTAGGGGTTAGTTTGTCTCGCATATCAATAAACTGTTTTGAGACAAAATCTTAAGCGCCTACATACATATTATCTTCTAACAAAAACCAAAAACGCCTCATCCATTTTCGTCATATTAATGAAACTTTTTAACGTCATTGGCAAATCTGTAATAATAAATTTTGAATTACGTATGTGTAATCCAAACAACGTTCATATTGTCACATGTCTTTTCATTCATTCGATTGTTTATTCTTGAATGTATGCTCGCATTACCTGCGTCATTGTAAGTTGGCATAGCTCAACATTCATCAGTGAAATTGAACTTTGATAAATCTACGTAATCAATTTCGATTAATGTATTAATAATATATTAAATATTTTCATAATCCGATCTATAAGATAAATTCTAATGAGTATAGGAGTTCAATACTAACCAGAATTTGATTTTTTTTTATGCAATTTAGAATGGCAAATAAGCTGACGACCTACCTGATGGAAAGTGGTAACCGTCGCCTATAGACATGAGCAGTATCATGACATAACAGAGAATACTGTTTCGCCCATAATACATCCCATGCGTTGCCATTCTTAATGACTCAGATGTTATTCCTTTGTACACTGTAAATTTACGCCATATCCCACCGTTCAAACCGCAACACAGCCATGCAAACACGCAATACACAAATATCCAAGCAATCGACTTTTGTACAAAGTCTCCCTCTGGTAAAGTTCATTTAAGAGTTTAGACATTGTATTTTTGCAAAATTTATAAGAATATTCGGTCATATTTTACAACAAATGTCCCTGACTAATTAATAATTATTCCAATATATAATTTAATTAAATTGTCTGCATAACGCTTTTTATTAGTCACTGTGTATCAATATAAAAGACAAAACTACACTGTGTCTTACCAGTGATATACGATTGCATTCATAGACAACATTATAAAACTTCTAGTATAAAAGTGATGTTACCCATGTGACATTAAACTAAACGTATATAGGTGCCTCACTTTGGTCACAGTATAAGAAAATAAACTTGTTTCAATACATGATTTTATTGGCACAGAGTTGAATGTATTACCTTCAGAAACTGTTATGGGGTAATGAGCCTGTTGGGGATCATTGCCTTGTCTACACAAGTGATGGAACTGAACTTAGTCTAACGTGAATTCGTCGGTCTCTTACATTCGAATAATCACAGGTTATATAACATCTGCCTCTCGACAACTTCGAGCCTCATATGAATTTCATCTCTAAACTTAATACAACAAAGATCAATAAATTGGTCTAGACTTATATAATACATATCTATAGATTGGAATGCCAGACACATTTTTTGTTTAGTGAAACATATACTATTATTTTCATAGTATGCATATACCTTTGACTTACTAATATTTACATACATGTACTTATACTTGGTCTAAGCCAGGCTATTGATTTTTCATGGAAAGCTAAAACCTCCGCTGAAATATCGATTCCTGCTTAGAAAGAGACAAATACGTAAATTGTAACGACCATGTCTGTAAACTGTGCTGTAGAATACTTGCTTACAAATTGCTGTAATAAGTGAAACGCTAGTACAGACGGGACACTCTAACGTTCCCATTCAGTATTTGATTAGAAGACGAACAATGGTGAACTAAGAAATGAATAAATTAAAAAAGAAAAACTAAAATGATTCAACATTGTATAATTTCTGTTATTTCTTTATAATAAACATTATATTCTCTTTTTTTAATGTCTTCATAAGTTTCACCAAACTTTTAATTTACTTTAAAGAACATTAGTAATTGTACTTTTGTTTTGCAGGTCACGTAAACGAGGTCCCAGTAGCTCATGCGACTTGGGCTACGGCGAGCGTGACGACCAGATGAACGAGTGCAACGCAGCTCTGGTGCTCATGTCGCTTAGCTGCTCGCCCAACTCGCCGCGCCCCAGTAAGTCACTCACGACTACTACGACATGGCGACGTCACCAATATAACACGATACATTATGACGCATTCCGCCGCGTCACACCTACCTGATTTAACAGAACCGCATCACTGCTGATTGATTGACTTTCAACTGTAAGACATCTATTACATCACGCATACCTTAGAGCATTTGACAGAAGAATCAATTCTCTCTCTTTTACCGAGGTACCTATAGTCTGTTGAATCGTCAAATTGTAGCATTTTTATCAGAGAAGACTCGAGACTAATCAAGAATAGCTCAGTGAAGGGAAAAAATCAATATATAGAAAGATAAATAAACGACAGCTCTCAGCAAATTTCTTGACTGAAATTTCCTGTGGTGTATAAATATGTGACTATTGTTTATAAAAGGTGTGTCGTTTCGTCTCCAGTCTCTGTCTTAAATGTTCTAAGCTACATGCAAACATAACCTGGTACACTGCTGAATGGTTATCATTTACGTAATAGCCACTTTCTGCTATCGTCTCATAAGCAAATTTGTGTCGACAACTGTACTTAGACATCGTCTTCATTCTATTTAAAACATCTAAACAATTATTCCTCTTACGTACATATTCCTGAAAAAGAGAAGATAGTTATATTCAGAGAATAAAGTATATGAATGTAAACGTGGCTAACGTCTAGACAGCTGTCTAGACGATGTCTAGACAGGTATTTGGTATAACGTCGGTTCTGTGATGAGTTTCAACCAAATGGTTTCTTCATGTTTAACTACACTTCATGTAGTTGAACTTATTTATTAATAACTATATTCAGACTCCCAGTCATACTTGAAAAACTTGCAAACTAAAGCAAAACAGTATTTAAAGAAATTAGTACCCGTATTGTTTTAATAAAATACAATAAACATAAAGTTTAAAACAAAGATGCATGTATATGGTACATATATGTAGCCGCTAATAATAAGGAACTTATGTATACCAAGCTGCATTATGCAATCTTCGTCCGCATGCCGGCACACCACACATAAAACTTTACGATTCATCTTCAGAGCTGTTCTAATGCGCGTACGCGTGTGTGCCGCTAGAAGCAGATAGCTGTTCTTGTCAGTGAAAGTGGCCAGCCATAATTTCGTTTCGTAATTTATCGTATTTACTTTAAAATACTGTTATCTTCATCATTGTATTATAACCTAATATAGGAATTTGTGGTATTTTTTTTTACCATAAAGCAATTTTAGCTTACCACCGTTACATTACGCTATTTATATGGATAGAGTAGTGATAGGCCAGTGAAATGACTTCGACTTCCATTCCAGGTGCTGCAGGTTCAAATGCCTGTCATCAAATCATTCAATTACTACGATCTTTCGATCCAAAATAATCAGTGCTGAGGCATTTATGATTATTAGAAGAGAAGCGATAGGCATGCCATCTATCGCACTGACGCCGTAAATACGAGTGACAAAACGTGGGTATTATGTGTGTTAACCCTTCAGAAAGATGGTTAATTTTCAAAAACGTCTGTCTTTTATACAGCGCTGATAGAATTCCTTGTTTATCTTTCATATTATACTGTATAAAGTATTTCTTTTATTTAGGCGCATGGGGTGGCCGCTCTTCAGTGTCGCCGGGTGCCAGCAGCAGCTCGGGTTCATCATGGCGCTCAGGCACACCCTCCCCACCGCCAGCTTCGTCCTCATTCAGCGACGAGGGCATCGCTTTAGATTATGATTTGCATCCTCGCAAAAAAAGGGTAAGTTTATAAATAATAGGCCTCTAGCATTATCGTTTTAAAATCGTGGCTCATGCACTAACGGTTCGTGCCACGCGCCTTCAAAATTACATACATTTGTCGTGTGGAACGTGCTCAGTCACCAGTACGAGCTTCAATTAGACCGTGACATACGAGGTCTGTCCGGAAAGTTCGTATAAAAGTGTTCGTGCGAGAAAGAGGAGTCGCTTTCATCAGTTCTGCGAAGCCAGGAGACTGGGCGCTAACGAAACCCCGTACCGCTGAAGACATACGTCGTAATCAAGTATTGCGTTGCGTTGCGTATCAAGGAGGACAGTAAGCGTGAGAGTTGACGGAAGTCCGCCTTCGGTTCGTTACACATTCGCTTCGCAATTATACACCGTTATATCTTACATTTTTATTTATTGATTTTGTTATTTAGCTTGTTGCTTTATAACTGAAATCACAGTATTCCAAATTAAAAATATTGCAAATAAATAAAGTTATTAGTCTATTTTCTTTACCTATGTTACATTATAAGAGAGTGGACCTGAAATAACTAAGTATGTCGCTCAATAATACTATACATATCTAAATCTATTTACAAATTCATTGTAAGCGATATTTGCAGTACCTACTTAATTACTATTGTCCAAGTGGCTAAATATTGATAAAAAAAATCTTATCTGCTGAAAGGCTTTATAATCCTTGAATACTTATTTATGACTCATAATACCTCCATACCTAAATGACGATTAGTTTGTTCATATCCTGTATGCATCATAACATTTCCTTTGTCGTTAATTTCCCAAAGAAACCTCGTTGTTCATGTTCATGTAAATCTACTTTCACCTACCGAGACACCCGTTTGCCGTCTTTAAATGCCATTGTATCACTGCTGCAGGGAACTATGCACTTCTGTTCCTAGTTTCATAAAATATTCACACGGTCCTTTAATATCGAACCTTACTGACTAGTATTAAAGTATCAGTTCTATTGTTTAGTGGAGATAAATAACATTTTATTCGTATGAGTTATAACTACAGTAAGGGATGAAAGTAGTTTTATAAAGATACTAATACCTGCGTGTGGTAAAACATTATTTATAATGAACAACGTTGTTTCAAGCTAGTATTTTATCAATTCTGTGCCTCTAGTGAGAAAGGGTTCAATTCAAAATGGTCACTTTTCAGGAGAGCCAAAAAACTATTTTAAATAAAGAAAAAAAATTCTGCTGCTTTTATGATTTGCTAATTGAACAAGTCAATGATTGCATTTATAGTAATTGTTTCTCCTCTTTCTTATGAAATTGTCGGTTTTTGTGTAAAACCTATAGTTTTAAAAATAATTCTATTATACCTAATCACACTTAACAAAAATATTAAAATTATCATTAGTGAAAATAGTTTTAAGTTGAATTAAAACTATTTTATTGAAATTTGAAGAAAAACAATGTTGTGTATTTTACGCTATAAAAAATAATCGCTATTAAATGATGTAAAAGGGTTCAAATCGCCGATTCATTTTACAAAAATAATTTTTGTAAAATATTGTAGTTTTATTTCTAATTATGACTTTTTTACCACAAATATTTTGTTAATTGTAGTTTTACATGTTTACTATCTCTATTGTTTTTAAAGATATCGTTACGATTCTTATACCATTCGAAAGAGAAAAAGTTGCTTATTTAAAGTAGCTACCTAAAAAGAAAAAGGCTATAATGAACAACGTTATACCCTTTCTCACTAGAGGTTTTATCAATTCATTAGACAAAGAACCAGTGACACATAATACTGTATAAATTTATCTTTCTACAATGTATGTGAGCAATTACTTTTGTACCTAATATTATTGTTATTTGTGACACGTGTTCGAGACAAGCGTCGATAGTCGCAGACTCATCGAGACTATCACAGCTCGTCTGACGTCTTTCTGCTTCTCTGTAACGTTTTCACTACTGACCTATTTGACTTCTGATACAGAGATAGGCAGTAGCTCAATAATGAACAACGACTATGCGTGTTAATCAAACATTTCAGGAAAATAAGTTCTGATGGAATAATTGATAATATATTTAAAACTAGCTAATAGATACTTTATTTTATGTTTAAAATTAAATTATGGTACTTTTATCTATTCAGTATTATTTATGATATGTATGAAGTTCCTGAAACAGTAATCATTGCCCTAATTTTAAACATTTTATAACATATTTTAACTATAATGTATTTAACAATTTAAGTTTTAACAATCTCCTTCCTTATTTATCAAGCATCAACGCACAAGAAAAAGTACCGTCCATACTTATATATTTTCACTTCTGTGAATTGGTTTAGATTAAACATAATATTTCAGTTCTTACACAGATACAATGTCGTTCTAATTAAAAACAAAAAACGAAGAATCACACGTAAAAGTTATGTTTCTTAATATAAAAAATAAAATTGAATCGATGTAAGTGATTATTGTTGTTTACAGTTTACATTAATTTTGAGTAAATTAAAAAAAAAACGAGGTAACTGTGCGTATTCGCTACAAGTAATTAACATTGCGTAATAGTTCAAATGGAATTCATGCGGACGAAGTTCGCGAGTAAAAAAAACTTTTGATTATAACCTTAACTTATATCATTAATGATACGATTTAGTATGTGATTTGTACAGTTTTTACTAATTGGCAGATCAATAAGGAAGTTATACTATTGGCTTTTATGTGAAGAGAGATCTGCCAAATCATAAAAATATCGTTAATAGACAGCTTTTTCTTAAATAACAGAAAATTTTTTGTTCTTAGGATTTTTTTTTTCTCTTAGCTTGACCACAGAAAAAATTACGATTTGTGATTCAATATAAATATTATAAAATATCTAACTGATTTTTATTAAACCAACCTGACACCTAACTGACATCTAATTAAAAACGACTTCTAGGCGGGTGACCTTCTACACCAATAGTTGAATATGGCATCTCTGTTACACATTTGTCGTTCTTATCGCGCTTTTGTGATAAAGTATAACGTTTAATTTCGCTTTTGTGTATTACTCTATAGTTACAATTATGCAATCATGTACTATACCACATAATACGTTTGCCAATATTACATACCAGTACCTAATGCTGATATAGAAATCTATTGTTTTTAAGAATATAAATGTAAATGACTATAACTTATATGCGGATGCATGTATGTATTTACATGTGATTTACGATCCATGTACGAGGTTCAGTGTGTCGTGCAATGTCAAGGCGCAGCACTGTGGTCGCTAGTTATGCAACTATGTACGTTGTAAAATTGTCATAAATACATTTTACGAGTATGTGAGCCAATGTAGCGGAATATTACACATACATAAAAATATAGTATTAATTTGTATACACTACTGTTTAACAAAGTATCCTCCGTATTATTATGGAATCCAACTACCCCTAACACACGTATTTTATTCTAATTACATATTTGATTTTAATTTCTTTTAATTATTTGACGAAAAATGTTTAGTTTTATTGATAGAATGGTCCCTTAAATGTATGCTAAAGTTTTCGATTTTATTATATTTTTATTAGCGATTTAAGCATGAATATAGCAAGCGAGACTGACTTCAAAGCCTGATGCCATCAGATTTATTAAAATCTAAAGCTACTACAACTGACCGAACGCCCATCCTAGGAAAAATCCCTACACTAATGCTAAATGCTAATCTCGTTGCAAAAAAAAAAAACAATATAAATAATGTCAATTTATTGTAAAACTTTATGTTTATGTTATGATACTTTATAACACTTTATGTTTACTGTAAATAATGTTTATAGTGAGTTGACTGCGCAATGGAAAAGTTCGCACGTGTAGCGAGTGTAACGCCTACACCACGCGACGCCAGGCCATGCGCAGAAAACAATTGAAGCCTTCGTGTTAATTTAACATGAGTATCTACATACCTCAATGACCATCACTATATTGCGTTTGTAATAAGATAATTGTTACAGTCACTCCCACTGTACAATCATATAAAAATATAGGTCAAGTGCAATTTAAAATGAAATATAGAGACGTATATGCGCACTGTTTTCCGAGCCTATCTGTAATAACCATTTTAAATCTAATATTCAAAAATATTTCAAGTTACCCAGTAAAACATAACTGGTAAACATGATAATTGACAACCGGAGCTCTACATGAGTACGTATTACGTATTTACATTTGTTTTTTTGTTGTTGTGACATTTTTGCTCTTAGTTACATTTTCAATGTCACACAGTCGTGTTCTCTAAGCTAGAGCTTTGTTTATTCTTTCTGAATCAACTTTAAAAAAAGTGGTTCTTGATTATATTGTATTTTTGTGTGTGTGTGTGTGTGTATGTGTGTGTGTGTTTCACAGTCGATACGGTGTTTATCCCATACTAATTTGTATTGAATGAAGTTGATTTTTTAATGAAACAAAATGTAAAATTATAGTTTTTCTGTTGTAAACCTTAGTGTTTCATAGATGCGGAAATTGCATGTAATGCGTAGTCGAGGACGCAGATGTCGCAATTCGCAACTGTATGGCGTACTTATTTACAATGTATACAATGATCGTGTGTTACATTGGCGTGCAATACGTTTCAGACCCACGCTTCCATGTAACCTTGTACAATTGTTGGCGGCCAACCGATCCTCGTGGGCGGACCAGTTTACAGCGCTCGTGTCACTATTACAATAAGTAATCTAGTTACGTAACGTCTATTTACATTCTGCTGTGAAATCATTGAAATTTTCATTGTTATATAAAAATGTTTGCAAGTACAAAAGTCATTACTATTATTTACTTTTGAAATGTACTATTTGTTTGTCTATTACAACAAACACAAAATGTTATATCAAGGAAGTTGTAAATAAGAAAAACATATGCACAAAAGGAGAGCTTACCTCTATAAGAGTTTCTTCCCGCATATTTGCAACTGATGAATTGTATTAGTTAATATATTAAACTATTTACTATACAAAACAAACGTTATATAATTAAATCAATAAAATAACTATATA